AATTGATTAATTGATTAATTTGCAATAACTTTTTTCTTTTTATTAATATGCGCGTTAGTTGAATTTTGATCAAAGTGCTAAAACATGTGTCTTCTATTTTTGTAAATGGTAATGTTCTTCAGATTTGCGATGAAGAGTTATATGATTTGGTTTCAGTCAAAATATATACTGTCCATGTGAATATGAAGAGCGAAAAAAAATAATACTCACTCAACTAACAGCACCATACATCCAACTTTCTCAGCAAGGTCTTGTACATCACCTTTTTGTAAATCTGGTAAGATGACAAGAGAGAACGTGTTTGATACATTGTGCATGATGAACATTTTGAATACTATGAACATAATACTTAGCCTACATAAAGAAGCAAAGAGGGAACAAGGTAGAAAACTTGTGCAATATGCCAGAATAACACAAATGCATGAATTTTTGGTGCAATAACATTTAAGGGAACCATACAAAATAATATTATGTGATAACAATAACAGTGAACATAATGCGTTTCATGAAGAGAATCTTACATGGGTTTGGAAGACGTGGAATCATACTAAGAAGAAGGGAGCCATAATTATGATGAATCTACTAACCTATGTACGTCAAGAACATGTATAATGTTATGTGATAAGTTTGTAATAATTGCAGTGGTCAGTAATAGTACCATTCTAAAGCCAGTAATATAAAAACCCAATAACGACATCAACAAAGTGAGGAAGTTTGAAAAGTCTTAGACATCACTCTATTTAATGAAATTTGTGCATGTATATGTTAACACTGTTTAAGCTTAATGATATTGAAAATGTATTTGAGAAATGCTTGTTTAAGAGCCCCGTATTTGTATCCCCATATGCTTTTGAGAAAGAAAAGGCTCAGTTATATAAATATTGGCAGTTCCTTTTTAATAATCCCAATATGGTGATATGACAATTGAAAATGTTTGAAAACCTGTTTCCACAATTAGCATACACACGTGTATGTTCATGCATAATACCCTCCTAGTAGTCTCCAAACTAATTACACCAGGCAGGTCAGGTAGATAGTCACAGTGAAACATACACATCATATAACTAGGTTCATATAGCTGACATGTTAAATTGATCAACGGCTTACTCATATTCGTTTTTTTTTAATTATATTCTTTAAAAAATGATATATTGCGCTCTATATGTTTGATGTGTGTCATGTAATAAAAATTATAAGAGTTTTATTTTGTTACTGTTAAACTAATGACTTTACAAGAGAACGCAAGTGTTCACATAATTCTCCCTTTCAGATGATAAATGTTGGATGATGGCAACAGTTTCTGTGTTACCCAGGCGTATGTCCTGGTTTATACCTTCAATATACAAACAATTACATAGCTAAAGACAACTGTAATTTAGCAAACATAATTGAACATTTGGAGCGAATGAGTATGTGTGTGTGTGAAAAACCAAAAAACGGCATAAAACATCCTCCATCCGGCAGGCGGAGGGCGCTGAGTTGTCCAAAAAAAAAATTAAAAAAATGAGTATACTAATTACATTCATTGTAACATAACGTATTGTTGTGATAAGTTAGTGTAATCTACCAAAGTGAATGTATTTTAAGCACATTTTGGATAGTCTCGCAGTTTTACCTAACAGCCATATTTTACAAATTTTAACAAAATGTGCAAACACGCAAGTTGGGTCTGATTTACCCTAATTTAGGCAATTGAGCATAAGCGCATGTTCAGAAAGCGAATGATGGAAGAACCAAATAGGAAATGAAATAAATATTTTTTTGAATCCGGCATATGTAGAGTGTCTTGAATGTCTACGCAATGCTGGTTTAATGAAGTACAAAGAGCATTGCGCTGGTTTAGTACTACCCAAGACAGAATTTGGTCATAAGATTCATAATTTTACCAAAAACATACCTCCGACTTTATTTTTAAAGTATAGAGAAGAAAGAAAACGTACTTTAGTTACAGTTTTTCATCTTCGAGGTGCAGTTTCATTTTAAGATTTTTCAACAAAACAAACACATACAACATTAACATTTCATTTTCTTCAATATACAAACCATAAGAATTTTTCATGATGGCAGATATAGAATCGGTTAGATATCCCTCCAGATCCTCGTTAGATGTTTCTCGTGTATCAGCATGCTTGCTCGGCTTTGCGTCTCCATGAAGAGCGAGTCTCAGACCAGGGACTATGCTATACCCGTATGGTTCAATCATACCAACGACAAGCTTTTCAGGAAACACCACTCGTTCATCATCACAAGATACAGCCTTGCCTGGTTTGTACGACAAGATTTCATGTCGTAATGTAGCCATCCTCGTCTGAAAATCCGCGTTTGAAGAAGCCATTTTGAATAAATACCAGACTACGTATGAATGAGTACAACCTAATGCAGTTAATTAAATCAGTATACTCTCGCAAGGCAAATGTTTACCGTTCAAGATATGGCTTTCATAGATTCCAGTGATAATTGGTTCCAAAGAACATCAACTAGTTAATAATCTATGAAACTAGATTACCTTATAATTAGTAATGCAATTGTATTTGTATTAGTCGGAGCGAGTCTTCTTTTTAGTAAGGATAGGGTTGATAGGCCATGCACTTTGTATTTTCAGTGTTGCCGAAATTATTGCTGAATGTGCATTAAAAACCCTACCAATCATATATTCTAATATTTTGTATGAGTTTACGATTTGTTCTGGTGGCCTTTTAAACTGATGCATACTTTCGTGGTTCTTCCTAGTACAGCTACATGTATGTGCATTGATTTGACTCCTGATCACTGAGCTGCCCCTTCCCAAGCCCCATCCCCCACATCCATTGTTTAATGTGTTAATGTATCAGTGTGATTTCATTGGTCTCTGGTTAACGAAAGATAAAGAAGGTTTCCTTTAAATAATTAAAATGAATTTATTACGATTGAATTAGCTAAATCACGTATTGATTCAAGATCGCTATATAGTCAAAAGTATTGAAAAATATATACAATTACGAACTAAATTATACCACTTAATACCCCTTAATGTTTGTTGTGTTTTTCTTAATTCAAAAGTGAAAGGCGGACTGGTTGAATTAGGGCCTTTGTTATGAAGTATTCGCAAGAAACATACTTTTTTTTAATAAATATTACAAAACATGCAAATTGACATTAATAATTGAGCACATGTTGAAGGAAACATATATATTAATTTGGATACGCTTGAAAATAAGTATACAAGTCATCACTTCATGTCTTCTGCAGTAAATATATATAGTTGATGTATTAAATTGTGTTCGTTGTAAATTTGCAATAAGTACATTGAATAGGGCAACATAAAATGTTAACCAAATTGCAACTGTAATACCTAAGCCTAAACATATATAACCCAGCATTTCAACAAGGTCTACCATTGGTAGCTTCTGGAGTCCATCATTCTCATCGTCCAATGAGAGGGCTTGTTCTACAGATGAATGCTGGTGGCCGTATCGTACAGGAAAGTCCATTGGCTCGTTTGAATGACTAGAGCCGACCACCTTACCTCTGAGAACAGGACTACTCATGATGGAGCGAGCGATGTCTGATGATCAGGCGCGTACGCAGGATTTTTTCAAGGGGGGGGGGGGGGGGGGGGGTTTTAACATTTTTGAATCGGGCCGAAAAAAAAAATCGCAACGACTCAGCCGGCCGCTGAATAAGCGGGGGGGGGGGGGGGGGGGGGGGGGGGGGGGGGGGGGGTAAGAGGACATTTTTTTTTTTTTTTTTTTGGTCTCGAAATTTGAAAATTTGACAATTTTCTCCGTTGGGGGTGGGGGGGGGGGGGGTAAGGTCACCTTTTTTAGGTCAAAGGGGGGTGTTTTAGGGGTGTTTTAGGGGGGTTTATATACAAAGAATACCAAGGGGGGGTTTAACCCCCCAAACACCCCCCCCCCCCCCCCCCCCCCCCCCCCTGCGTGCGCGCCTGCTGATGATGATGGTCCGCCACGTCCATCGGAGCTCATCCCGATATCATTTTCTCTTATCGATAGCAGAGGCACAAACATACCTCAGTACTATACTTGGTAACATCTACCGGAAGAGAGTGAAGATTGAAAATGAAAACACCTAATTCATGTACAACAGAATGAACAAAACAAAAAACTGATTTTCTCAAACCTTTCTGACCCCCATTTTGCAAACATGTATACATATCATTTTTTGGTCCTATTTTTGATGTGTATGGTATTATCTGTTGTTACATGTATGATTGGTGTAAAATCGTCGAAAATCACCTTTTCTGTTGTGCATCATCACCTGAGAACATTATAATTATATCATTGAATGATCATATTGGATACTCGTTTATGTTTTTAACGTGATCTGCGAACTTTTGGACGTTTATTACTCATTTCATCGATGCTGCTTTTTATATATACGTGAACTTATACGGTAACTTATTATTACGCATTATACACCATCACAACTTTCGTCATTCGTTAACTTGACATTTGCAGTTATATAACTTTCGTCATACGTGATTTGTGTTGTATACACATGGTGATTTATTGTATGCTTCTTATTTGAACATTATACAGAGTTACTGACCGTTGAGTGTTGCATGATCTTTGAACAAATTTTAACTCAGAATGTCGTCGGTGAGAACAAACAGATACAAGGGAACCCCTGGAATGGACAATTTTTCCTATAAATTACCGAAAGGGATAACCGTTAGCAACATCCGTCACGCTGTACAGATAATATGTTCATCTCATCTCCTTCATTCAGACGTAGACTTAGATAATGAACATATAAAAGACAATCTCATCCGCATATATCCACTCCTAAACCCGTTCATATGCAGCCATTTTGTTCTGACCCGGAACGTAGAAGTACCGAGTGAGACAGACAAAGAGGACGAATCTATTGTCAGTCAAGTGCCCTCATCTAATGACAATAGAGATGCAAGCCAATGTCAAATATGTGATTTAAAATGTCACGACAGCGAGACAATCTGCATGAAATGTAAGTGCATGCCACTTAGATTAGACCAATTATCCATGGAGTTAAAGAAAGTGCAGCATGTGATCGATGCTTTGTTAGACACTCCGCCGTCACACCCATCACCTCAGCAGAAGAACACAGCTACATTGAAAACATCTCAATCAACCTCGTCAAGCAGCCGATCTGACCAACCCACACCACCTGGAACCACCCGAACACGGCCAGTCGACCAGAACCCCCAACCACGCAGCCGTCAGCATCCCTCACTCCCAACACCGGTAGCATCAGATACCACTCGAGCACCTCGACAACCTCCTCCAGCCCCCTACCAGAACTTCCAACCCATGCAAGCACGAAACCGTCAACATCCGGCCTCGCTACCGAACCCGTCAGGCCCACCACTCACTCAGCAACGTTACCAGCAGACAACTGCCCCACCACCCGATCAGCACCGCCGCAACTTCCCCAACTCCCCTTTCTACCGAAATGCCCAATCCCAGCCCCCATCCACTCCTTTCAACCAACAATACCGAAACCAGTACCCTCCCATCAATTCACAGCAACTATCACACAGTATGTTGAACCAGGAACCTCCAAGAGACTACATTTATGACCAACAACGTGCTCTATTCAATTCGCGCCAAAGAGCCTCGTACGCATCTGCTCTAGTGAACCCTCCCACATCCTCTCTATACGACGATTTATACATGTTAGGATGTGAAAATTGTGGAGAAGAGAACCACAGAGCCCGAGCATGTCGACACGGAATGCAACTCCAATGCCGTTACTGCATGCAATACGGACACAAGGCAAAAATATGTCCGTTCTACTATTAGCACACAGGCCAAGAAGAGAGTGCCCAGATAGATTGTACTGGAGCATGTCACTCACCTATTTAAGAACTGCCTTATGTAGACAATTGTAAACTCATAAATTCATACACTGTTTCATGTACTGTGAATCAAAACAAAGGGGATATATTACGTAAACCTAAATTGAATGAAAGTGACGTAATATATCACACGCAAAACAGTTCTCACACACCTAAAAGTTTGAAAAGTTTGAAATGTATCTCCTTAAACGCAAGAAGTATTGTTAATAAGATTGAAGAAATTCAAACAATTATCAAAATTGAAAATCCTGATATATTTGTATGTACGGAGACGCATTTAAGTAAGGATATTTTATCTAATGAAATATTTCCACAAACGTATATCGTTATAAGGCGAGGCGTCAAAAATATCGATACCAGCAGGCTGCCGCCTCACGTATTGGCGCATCGAGGCTGCAATTACGGCCGAAGCCTGGCTGGGGCAATTATTTTTCACTTATTAGCCCAGCCGGCTTGCGCCAGGCTGGGATCTGAGGCTCGGTTTCCAATCGAAAGGCGGCAGCCGGCGCATGCTTTTGTTCGGAGACCATTATGATGACATCATGAGTTAATTGAGGGTCCTACCGCCAGCGGTAGCCGGCTGAGCTAATTTAAAAAATGCAGCCAGGACGCACAAGTGCAGTTAGCTGCCGCTGGCTGGTATATTTATTTTTGACGCCTCGCCTAAGAAAAGAAGATAGAAATCGGCATGGCGGTGGCCTTCTTATTGCCTACAAAACCCATTTGTCTGTGACACCTAGACCAGACCTGGAAACAGATTGTGAGATCCTTTGGTGTGAAGTAATATGTCACGATAATAAATCTTTGTTTGTAGGTGTGTTTTATAGACCACCGAGCAGTAGTTTAGATGTGATTAAAGAGCTTAATAAATCTATGTCGATATTATCAAATCATGGTAAGAAGGCTAGAAATGTTATTCTAACCGGTGATTTCAATCTTCCTAAATTAAAGTGGCAAGACGGACATATTGTAGAAATAGATAATACTGATTTAACACAAAATATACTTACGATCATCGAGAACAATTTTTTATATCAACACATATCGCAAACTACAAGGATCACTGATACCACCAGTAGCATATTAGATCTTTTATTTACATCTGATCCATCCATTGTTAGTAATGTGAATATTATTCCCGGTATAAGCGACCATGAGGCTATTGTTTTTATTATTAATTGTACATTAAAGGGAAAAGGTTGCAAACCCAGAATGACTTATTCTTATTCAAAAGCAGATTTTAACAAATTTAGAAATGATTTAGAAAACGCACCATTAACGGAATCACTTGTAAAAGAGGACTTAGAATCATCATGGCAATCTTGGAAAAACATTATACTTAATGTTGTAGATAAGAACGTACCTCATAGAAAAGTAACAAGAAAATATCACGTTCCGTGGATAGATAAAGACGTTAAGAGACTGTTTCGGAAACGGAGGAAATTTTTCGAAAAAGCTAAAAAATCGAATTTACAATCCGACTGGAATAAATTTCGTAAAATAAGACGAGACACCAAAAGACTTATTAAGCTAAAATATAAAGATTATTTGCAAAACAACCTCTGTGAGGACATCAAAAGTAACCCCAAAAGATTTTGGAATTTTGTTAAATCAAAGAAAAAAGTGCAAAACCCGATTCCGTGCCTGAAGGTAAATGGAATTACTTTTACTGACGATAAAGAAAAAGTAGATACTCTAAACAAACAATTTGAGTCTGTATTTAAAGACACTAATGATGGTCCTTTTCCACCATGTGAAGAAAGAAATGATGTTCCTGCCATGAGTGATATTCATTGTTGTGTCGCTGACGTATGTAAGTTGCTCAAAAGCATTGACGTTAATAAGGCTCAAGGTCCTGATGGATTATCTCCCCGTGTATTGAAAGAAGGGGCGGAGCAGCTTGCACCCTCGCTTTGTCAATTGTTCAATATGTCACTTTCTAAAGGAGAGTTACCAATTGACTGGCGAAGAGCAAACGTGTCTCCCCTTCTTAAGAAAGGTAACAAAGAAGACCCGGGTAATTATCGCCCAATATCACTTACTTCAATTACTTGTAAACTACTCGAAAAACTTGTTTGTAAACATCTTGTTCATCATTTTAATCTACACAATGTCTTATGTGATAACCAGCATGGTTTTCGCGAAAAGCGGTCATGCGAGACTCAATTGATTGAAGCTATTCACGACTGGAGTAGTTGGATGAACTCCGGCTATAGTGTTGACATAGCATATTTAGACTTCGCTAAAGCGTTCGATAGCGTGTCGCACAATTTATTAGAACGAAAGTTAAAAATGTATGGTATTCAAAATTCAAATTTAAAATGGATCATGAATTTTTTGAAAAATCGTTCACAACGAGTCGTCCTCAATGGTGAATACTCTAATTGGGTAGACGTAAAATCAGGTGTACCACAAGGGACAATTTTAGGTCCAATCATATTTTTATGTTTCATAAACGACATTTCCTATAATATTGATTCAACTATAAGACTTTACGCAGATGATTGTATTTTATATAGGCCTATCCACTCTATTGAAGATTGCAAACTTTTACAAAAGGATTTAGAAAATTTAGATAAGTGGGCAAATTCATGGCTACTTGATTTCAATGTAAACAAATGTAAGATAATGCAAATGTCAAGAAAGTCCTCTAAACCACAGTATGAATATAAATTGGGTGGACATAAATTAATTAACACTAAGTCAGAAAAGTATTTGGGCATTACTATAAATGATACCCTTAATTTTAATTCTCATTGTAACGAAACATACGCAAAGTGTAGTAAGATTGTAGCTATAATCAAAAGAAATTTTCTTAATTGCCCACGTTCTGTGTTTAAAACCTTATATGACTCTCTTATACGTCCATGTCTAGAATATTGTTGTATTGCATGGGACCCCTATAGAGTTTCACATATAAATATTATTGAACGTGTCCAAAAAAACGATATTTAAGAATGATGTTTAGAGACTGGGAAACAAGTTACCATGAACTATTAGAAAAATCAAGTTTTGCAAAATTAGAAGAAAGACGCAAGTACCACAGATTAGTCATGTTTTATAAAATAATAAATAATATGGTAAATGTTGGTCCGATTGAAAAAATTATACGTGCTCACAGAATTGGGCGTAATGATCATAATATGAAAATGTACGTACCATTTGCAAAAACAGATTATTTCAAAAACTCTTTTTTTATAAGAACTGCCAATGAGTGGAACATGCTCCCAAGTAATGTTGTTAATAGTCCATCTCTTTCAACTTTCAAAATATCATTAAAAAGTTGCTTACATATTTAACTTTTTAAACTCCGCAATAACAATTTGTTTTTACATTTTTATACAACTACATCCAAATTCGCGCAATATCAACTATATTTTAATTTTTACCTTAGATCATGCTGCAAAATTTTTTATATAGCATTTTGATCCCTGAAATACCCAATCATTTGTATATTCAATAATGCTGTTTTGCAATCAATAATATGTTATGTATTTATTTTCGCTCTAAACTACATTGTGTATATAATTATTTGATGTATTATCGTGTTTGATATCATTTTTTTGTTGTAACTATGTTATGCAATAATAATATTTGTGAACTTTGCTTTTTATCAGGGATGCAGACTTGTACGGGTTTTTCAAACCCTTTTCTGCATCCCTAGACATGCTTGTCTGAATAAATACAATACAATACAATACAATAGCCGTTGGGTCTATAACCAGTTTTTCTACTATCCAATTAGTCTATTCCCATATGGTCTACACCAAGTCGGTCTACTATCCACATGATTTAATAATCATTTCGTCAACTTTTTATTCGGTCTAATGAATATTTAGGCTAATACTCATTTGGTATAATCATTTTGTTCTAATTTCCAAATAAGTCTACTAAGTCTACTTTCCATATAGTCTAATAATCATTCAATCATAAATAATGATAATAATAAAATGATTATTAGATAGAAACCCATACCATAACATAGTGTGATATTGTACAATTATTTAGTCTTCACGTTTTCATAGCTACGTATCATTTTTATGGTGCGAGTGAATATTAACCTACCAAATAATTCGGAATCACTTCTAATCTATTATTTCACACTCCTCAATCGCAAGCTTTCTTCATTCATTTAAAAATGTGCACTTTTAAGGGAATAGATAAGACATGCTAATATAATGAAAACTGAATCAAATGGATTCACTGTAAGTCCCTAAGCAACATACTATCGGGTGAGAGAGGTAGGTGCATGTGATGGTGATGATGATGAAGATGATGATGATGATGATGATAATGAAAGCCATTTTCATATATCTCTTCTCATGACTTCTCTCAGTGAGCCTTTTGCAGGGAGTGGAGATGGTGTACATATTACAGCTTGTAATTTATCAGTACGCGTGGAGGTGTCGTAGTTTAGTGGGTGCGTCATCGGACTGTTGATCAAATATTCGAGGCACTAATGTCCGTTATTTGTCAAAATCGACCCAGGTACCTGAAATAAATTCATTCTTTGAAATACTAGAGCGCCAAAATGACAGCCGTACTGGAGTCGGGGTAATTATTTGTAGCGCCTATAGGCATACATTAGTGCTTTTCAAGAACCGAATATTGTTATTATTATTAGTACAGTCGAACCTGCTTTGGCGACCACCTGTCTACAAAGACCACCTGTCTATAAAGACCACATTTTTTGATTTCCTTGAAAATGGTTTCTCATTGAAACATGTACTAAAGGAACCCGTCTACAGAGACCATCTGTCTACAAAGGCCACTGTTTGTGTTTCCCCTGGGCGGTCGCTATCGACAGGTTTAAATGTAGTATTATTATCATTGTTATTAAAACTACTTATACTCCTATTACCACTTCTGCTATTATCATTATTATCTCCTCATTTAACACCATTGAAAATACAAGCATGATGTGCCACTTCATGAGCACTGCAT